TTAGGCACAAAAGAATAGTGGACACTTGACTTAGGATGCTCCTTATGAATAATGATTATTTGAGAACAAACACAGATATCTTCAGTTAATGGAGCAAATGTTAACATGCTTTTGGTGAAGTTAGATATTAAAAGGCTTTCAACAAAACTACAATTGATTATTGGAGCTCACTGGAGAGGGCTGCTGCTTGGGAGATTTATTTATAGTGTGCCAGATTTAAATATGACTAATGAAATGCTTCTTTTATGACTTCACAAGGTCTTCAAATAAGTTACTCCTAGATAAATCGGGGCACTTTTGGGCACCTCCATCAGAAGGCAAGCTCAGCATGTTGGAGTCAAGGGTTTCTATTTTCTTTGCTTCTACAGTTCATTTCTCGGCATATGAAATTTTAGACCTAGATAGCCTGGTGTCAGTCATTCTCGCATCGCTTAAAGCAACTTTTTGGAATTTGTCTGCTACAGTTTCTGGTAGGAGGCTCTATTCAAATTCGTTCACTAGTAAGAGAATTTGCCTGCTGTTATTCAAATTTCTTTTGAACAGGCTGTCTTCTTTGTTACCAAACATTAGTTTGGGTAGTAATAACACAAATAACGAACAAGTCTTCATTAAAGCAAGTCCCTTATGGAGACAAAATCCCCCTGGCATAGTGACCCAAAGTCAGATGCAAATTAAACTATAGAAACGTCAAACTGGTGTTTTGTAGCCTATAAATCAGACTGTTGATCTGTAACATGATTGCTTAACTTAAATGTTACATTTGACTAGTGTGATAATATGCCATTATATTTAAATATAATAATTCGATTATCATATAAATAATTCTATCAGTGCATATATATATATATATAAAATACATTTGTGTTTGTGCTTATTACTTCTTCACTTAGGGTGATATTTTCTCCCATCAGTTCCTTTGTTCTCCCTTGCTAAATTATGATTTTTATCAGCATCTTCTTTTGATCTATAAACCACAATCATGGATAGGATTCAAATTCTTTTCCATGACATTTTTAGGTCTTGAGAATACCAGGAGTTATGACTACACATGCTGGGGTGTCACTAAATGACATATTTGTTCTTACAAAGCCAGGACCCTTACCACAGGCCTGATTTGGGGATGTCTGTAAGACTTCATTCTTATGATTGAGTGGGGCCAGGAAGCTACATTTAAATAAAAATCACAGATGATTCTTTTGCAGCCAACGCATGAAGCAACATTTGGGAACTATTGTACTGGAATATCTTGGCTCTGATAGTTTATTTTGGAGAGTATAAGAATATCTGGTCTAGCATTTGTTATGTAGTTAAATCCTATTTTAATTCTCCATCAATTTGTGGAGAATTAAAATAGCATTCAACTATATTACAAGTATGGTTGCTATTTAAAACATAGAGATGATGAATAAGATGAATATAGTTTATGATAAAATAGCAAGATAGCATTTGTCATAATTGTGTCAGCTGCACTCAAGTCACTGAAAAGGAGGCCCACTTTCTGTTCCGAATTGATGGACCATGACAATGATGATTATCTTGGATTATTCATTCAACTAATATTGAGTATGACTTGTATCAAAGATAGGTCTTCTCTGCAATTCATTTTATATATGAAACTGCCCACTCCACCTTGGTTATAAGAACACAACTAAGTCATAGTCTAAGTTTTTGTTCTCTTATTGATAGTATACACTGTAAATTCAGATCCAATAAAAGAACAATTGATTTGAAGAATGATTCTTTAAAGGCCCTTTGGTTGATGATCGACCCACAGCCTAGATAAAGAGAGTTAAAAAGAAGGGTAAGGGATGAAATAAAAATGTTAAGTCTAAATCAGAATATAAAATAAATGCCAAACCAAAAACCTCACAAATAATCACCATAATTACAGCAAATAACATTTATGAAACACTATAAATTTGAATATATTGAAGTATTTCTCTATATACATTTCTATATACTCTAAAATATGAAGAACGCTAATCTACAAAGCTCTATTTCAAGTACTTTTTCTGTAATACCATTCATTACTCACAATATCCATGTTTAGAATTGTATTTCCCCCCAAATTCATATGCTGAAAGCCCAACTCCCATTGTAACTGTATTTAGTGATACAACCCATCAGGACCTAATAAAAGATTAGTGTGGGCATAAGGATGGCCCCTTAACCCAATCGGACTGGTGTCCTTGTAGGAAGAGACATGATAGGGCTCAAACTGGCTCTCTTTCTCTCCCTCCCCCCTACTCCCCACTTATCCTCTCCCCCCCCAGAGATAATCTAATAAGGACAAGGCAAGATTGCTTTCCCAATACTTGCATTGTTAGATAGAAGCGCAGGCAGAAACAATCTTGTAGGGAATGTCAGGTGGCCGCAAAGGGGCAGAAATGGGCTTTTTACCTGTTCTTTGAAGTTATATGACCTTAGAAGTCAATTCAGGAAGAATTTTCTTGCTTGAGATAGGAAAACAAAGCAGGGAGTAACTAGAAAGTAAAGTTTGACACAACTAATAAAAACCCAATGTCTGTACTAAGACAAAATGAAGGAAATACCACATTTGTATTCAAGCAGCAGGAAGGAAGAAGGGACAAGAGAAGGCGGAGTCCCTTCCTAGAAAAGTCTATCCCAGAAATGACTTGACTTCTTTCCACTGACATTATTGTATTGCTAAGACCTCGTCCCAGGGCCAGAGCTTGTCATAAGGAAAACTGAGAAATGTGATCTAAAAACTGAGGATAATGAAGTTGGTGAGCAGCCAGCAACCTTTCTGTTAGGGTGACTAGGTTAGGCAGAAAAAAAAGGATTTAATGTAAAATATTATTTCTTTTTGGTTGTTGATAGGAATGCAAGCAGTCTTAGCTAAATCAATCTTTAAGTGAGAGCGAAATAAACCTCTATTGTGTTTGCAACATCTTATAACCACAAAAAGACCCAGGCTTAAAAAAAGAACTGATACTCTGGACAGCAGAGCAGAAACTAGGACTCCAGTTCCTGATAACACCACTGAGCCACTGACCCAACCCACCAGAAGCCAGCTCTGCCCTGAAAGACCTACTGTGTGAGAGATTTCCTCATTGTTCACACATATTGGTCAGTTTCTTTTTCTTATAGCCCTCCCTAAACACTCAGCCTCTGTTAAATCTCTCTGAGCTGCCTCTTCTTTTCCTTTATAGCACTCACTACAGTTTTGAGTCACTCGTTAACTCTTAACTCATTTAAAATTGTGGCACCTACTTGAGATCAAGCCGACTCCACCTTGTCTCTCATTGTCATGAGATTCTGGGTGAAGAGCAAGCAGCCTCACCCAACTCGCCATCTGAGACTGTTAAAACTCCTTATCCATGAGTAGGGAGAAAAGCAACCCTCTGCCCCTCCCTCTTCTCTCCTCATCGTTTAAGCCAGGCACAGGAAGACCATCTGCTGACTGTTACAAAGACCTCGCAATGCAAGGCCATTGTCCATGAATATTATTAGAATATCTTTGTCTGAAGACTTCTGTCCACCAATCCAGAAATTTCAAACAAATGATATAAGCTTCATTAGACCACACCCTTGTGTGGGAACACACTTGAGGGAACACACTTTGGGATGACCCCTGGATGTGGACTCGGAGTATGATCCCTATTCTGAACAAGAGTTTTCTTGACTCTGTGGCAGTCTGATCACGTCTACATTGACAAAGTTGACCTCCACTGAGCTGTAAGCTCTGAGTTCTGGCATGAGCTCTGCTTTGCTCATGATTGTCTACTGAGTGAATGAAATAAAATGGCTAACACAATGCTTGGCACACAGTAGGCATGGTCAAATGGGAGTGATCATAAAAGTGTGGATTGAGAAGACTCACTCATTAAGAGATCCCCAAAGTGGAGCCAGAACCACTTGAAGTAATGGGGAGGCTAGTTTGGGGACTACTTTACTCTTCAGGTTTTGCTACAAAAACCTGAACATCTGTTTCATAGCTTTGATGTGACCTCAAATTTGAATATTGGGCTACTTATAGCTCTGGCTTGCTTGAAAAGGAGTGGAGGCTGGGCTGAGAGCACAGATGAAGGTCACAGCTGCAGCTTCCAAGGCTGTGCTGGTCGCTTTTCCTCAGGCATCACGCGTGGTTTAACAGTTTCTGCTTCTGTCACATCACGACGCTGAAGCAATGGCTTTCCAAACACTGGAGACATAGACTTGTTAGCAGATGGCCATACACATGGAGCCCTCAGACACATGGATTTCTTCCTGAGGATGTGTTTCTGGACACATTTTCTGCTTTTTTCCTATTATACACTCCATTCCCCTAAACCTTTCTGTTATTCTTTTACTTCGGGTAATTTCCTGAATGATACGCAAATTTATTAGCCTGGCATTCAAGCCTTCTACCATTTACCCTTGGTCTATGCAATTAAGCCTTGCACTTTGTCATTTCATCACTTTACACTTTGAGTATTTGTTACTCAAGCATAACATATATATACATTTTTTTTTCATGGCAGTGTCCAAAAACATCATGATTTATGGATTCAGGGTATCCTAGTTCCTTAGAAATTTACAAGCATTTCCTTTGTATAAGATTCTGTCCTGGATGCTAAAAGAAATAGAAAAATGCGTTGGCCTCCATGATGGACAGTATAACTTATAAAACTCAGAAAGTTCCTTTCTGAAAAATATTTCAAATTGGATTAGAACTATAGCTTATTCCATGTAGAAACTTCCTTTGGTTGTTTGGTGTTTCAGAGACACTTTTAGAAATCCACGGTTAGAATGTGTCTCACTTTAGGATTATCTCCTTTTATGAATTTTAGTTGTTTATGTGTATTGAATGTCAGCCAGTTTAGTGACACATCATACAAGTTAGTATTATGTAATTTCCTGTGATGTAAGTCCCAACTCCTTGGCCTGGTTGTCTATAATAGGCTCATTTACCTTTCCTGTCTTTTCTGCAGTCTAATCCCTAATTTATTAATTACATTGTTTGACTGGGTCAGATACTGGGATCCTCTTAGACATACCTATATTGCAGTTCAGTGTCTTCTGGAATATTCCTTTTGGACATTATCTGTAATAAGCATCCTTTCTCCAAGTTATCCTATAATAAGAATGCATAATGTATTGTTAGGCATTATGCTAAATATTTTACATACACTGGCTTGTCCCACTTCAACAGATGTGATCTCTTCCTTCTTTGAAGTTCATATTATTCCGTAACTTTCTTGGTATTTATGGTTTATATTTCTGTGTTTTAATTGTATCGATTATACTGGATTAGAAGCCTCAAGAGGGTAGAAAGTAATATACATTTCTATATCACTTGCAAGAAAGCAGGTGTTCAGTAAATATTTACTTTATCAAAAGAATTGTGGCTATCTGGAAGATGAAAATTTAGGTTTTAAACTCAGCTAAGGATCTCTCAGTTAATAGTTTATCCCTTTCATTCTTGACCAGCTTAACAATAGTCATTAGCCATAATCAGGGTCAGAGTACCAATTTCTGGTTTGCAACGATCATATTCTTCTAGGACACGTGTTCTTAACCTCTTTTGGGTTAATCCATACAAAATTAAAAAAAAAATAATTTCAAGTGACTACTGGACTCTCTGAATCCCATTCTTCTTATACAAAATCCCTAGCTGTGAAAGCAACAAGGTAATAGGCCAAGGGTACATTTAAGAGTTAGGGATTGTCCATCTGAACCCTAAATTCCTTCAAGGCTATTATGCATTGATAGGTAGTAAACTTCAAATTCTTAGACACGTGCTTTATGGCAATTCCACAACCATATCTCCTTTGATTCTAAGAACCCATGAGGGTTTTAGCCATCGGAAATACAATGTTAAAATACAAATATTTAGCATTGTAAGCATCTTTATCATCCAAAACAGCTTTAGCTGCAGTCAAAGGTTAAGAATGAACAGGAACTGGATGACGGTTGAAAATTTAAAAAAAGGCAAAAGTCGAAAGGCTGGTGCAAGAGATGGCTTTGCGGTGCCAGGCGGCCTCTGACTTCCTCTCCCCACATCCTCCAAAAAGGCTTCAGTTCTAACTTTGATCAGTTTTAGCAAATGGGAAGATGAGGCGTTTGAGATGGTGAGGCTTCCACGCCTTCCAAACTGTCTCGTTCTGCTGTTGGCTTTAAGTGCAAATGAATGAAAGAAAAGCACTCAAGGGTCCTGGTCCCAGAACACCGCCCCACGAACCCCCGAGGCGAGGGAGCGAGACCCAGACCGCCCCTTTCAAGTCAGAGCCCAAGGCGGGGGCGTCCCGGGCCGGAGGAGGCGGGTCTTCCCCGACGAAGCCCCGCCCCGCTCATCGCTGATTGGTGGCGGCGACAGGCCGAGACCCCGCCCCGCCTGGGCCTCGCTCTAGGCGCGCGCGCCCGCCTGCGCGCCGGTGGGTGTGTCCCGGCGGCGGGCGCGCGCGCGCCGGCGTCGCAGGACCGGAAAGGGGGCGGGGCGGCGGCGGGGCGCGCTCCCGGAAGGCGCGCACCCCGGCGGCGCGGATCGCAGGGAGCCGCTCCGCGACCGGAACGGGATCCGGGGCGTGCGCGTGTGGAGACGGCGCGGGGCAGACGGGCGCGATGAACACGGTGCTGTCGCGGGCGAACTCGCTGTTCGCCTTCTCGCTGAGCGTGATGGCGGCGCTCACCTTCGGCTGCTTCATCACCACCGCCTTCAAGGACCGGAGCGTCCCGGTGCGGCTGCACGTCTCGCGGATCATGCTGTGAGTGGCGGCGGCGCGGGCCGCGCGCCGCCCCGGGGCCCCCGCGACGGGCGGCCGTTCCGCGCGAGGCCCGGCGGCGGGGGCCCCGCGGGCGTGGCCGGCCGCCCCCCGGGAGGCGCTCCCGCCGGCGCCCCTTCCCGGGCTTGCTCTTAAACTGCGCTCCGAGCGCGGCGGGGCCGGGGCCGCTCCTTCCTGTTCCTCACTTCCCGCGCCGCGCCGGCCAATGACGGAGGCACACGACAGCGCCGCGCCCGGCGCGCCGGCTGAGGGGCCGGGGTGGGGGGGGGCAGCGCCGGCTGCGGGGCCGGGGTGGGGGGGCAGCGCCGGCTGCGGGGCCGGGGTGGGGGGGCAGCGCCGGCTGAGGGGCCGTGGTGGGGGGGCAGCGCCGGCTGCGGGGGACCCCGGGACCGGCCCTGGCGGCTCTGGTCCCGCCACCTGCTGGGGGCCGGGGGGACACTTGCGGCTGCGGGGACTTGGCGGGGCGCCCCGAGATGCACCCCGAGAAGGATGCCGCTCGTTGGCTCATTCTCAGCCTGTGGGCACCCCAGGAAATAGACCTGCGGGATGACAGGGGCGCTTCGCTCCTGCCCTGCCTCCCGTTATTAATTCTTTTCTTCTCCAGCACTTTTTTTCTTTAATATGTAGCCTTCGTCCCCCACAACACAACCTCCCCCCCATTTCTAATACGTTCTCATTCCATCGTCCAGCAAGTTTTCTCTTGTTCTTCCGTCTTAGTTTCATTTCTTTGTTAAAATCAAGCTCGTCTTCTCACAGCGACCCCCACGTTTTGGGTGGGTTTGCACGATGGGTGTCTGTTGCTGCTTTATAGAAAAGCGGAGACTCGGGGTGCAGTCGGCTCCGCCGCGGTCAGCCCCGGGGGGCTGCGGCGCTGCTGCCCCGCAGACACTGAGCAGCTGTTTGCTGTTCGTGGTCATCAAGGGCCCGACCTCTCTGGGCTTTAGAATTTCATTGTGTTGACAGTGGAAGAAAGACCCAGCTCAGGGTCTGGTGGAGAGAGTTTTTGAGGTAACTGGGTAAAAAAAGTGGAAGACCCGACCCGGACACCTGGTAACCGCTCAGTAAACAGCAGTTACCGTTTTCTCTTAGTTTTGCACACCCCCTTGGAGCCCTGGAGCTTTCTTCTCCCCATTTCTCCGCATTGCTTGACATCAAGTATTTACAGTTTCTTCCAGCAGTTTTTACCTTCCTCTCCGTTTTGTTTGGTGTTGTAAAGCATGTGAAAACAGTCGAAGGCCTGCTTTTATGCTGTGTTACATGCTGGTCGCTGTTTTCTGACTTGTTTTTTTATAGGTGGTGGTTCTATTTGTGCATACAACTAAATACTCTCTTTTAGTTTATTTAAAGGGCTTTATATGCTTTACACGTTTGAAGAATGGTAAACCTTTTTTCTTTACTTCTAGAAAAAATGTAGAAGACTTCACTGGACCTAGAGAAAGAAGTGATCTGGGATTCATTACCTTTGATATAACAGCTGATATCCTTAAAGAAAACGTTTCATTCCCTTGCCTGTAGTTTTGCTGTGACATACGTGGATACGTGTTGTTTTAAGTGGTTGGCGGCACAAGTGCGGCTACCCACTGAATCAGCCAAGTCTTGGAAATTTCTCTACCTGTGTTTCCATCTGTAAAATAGTGTTCCTGTTACCTCAGTAACACCTTGAGACAATGTTTTGATAGATTCTCGAGTTAGGATTTTGTGAGTATGCTTTAATTTTTCTCAGAAGTGTGAAATACATCAAAAGCTACAAGAGTTTCAACTTGTGTCTGGGAAAGAAAAAGTCACAATTGATCATTTGGATTAAATAAGGAATAGTGGTCAGACTACCCAAAAATTATTTTGTGTGCAGTCCCCAGAGTGTGTCCATATTTTATGATAACAGAGGGAAGCCTGTTCAAAAGTGAATTACATTTGTTCTGTTTTGGCAGGTTATTATCCAAATAGTTGTTGGGTAAACATTACTAGGCTTTTAGTATTATAGCCTTTGTTAACTTTTATAAAAGAGAAAACAGTTTCAGAGTTTGTTTTTATATTACTTTTTTATATTTTAATTTTTTTCCTTTCCACCTACTAATACCTCTGATCATTTCGTGCAGTAGTCTTTTAGATTACTGTTTTGGACAGCACTGTCCCTGACACCTCTAGCCCAGTTACACCTGCCTTTTTGAGACCCCAGAATCAAAAGTGGTTATGGAATTTATGAAAAGCAACTGTCTGAACGGTCGAAGCAGTTTATGAACCTGTGGAGTTTACCTTTTAGTGCCTCTCTGCTACCATGGAGTTACTTTTAAAAGCAAATGATTGGATTTAGAAGTAGGGTAGGAATTTGTTCTCTATATACTTTTTAGAGTGCACCATCATAAGAATATTATGCTAGACTCTGTGTGTCTGCTTTTAAGTCTTCATTGCATTTTTAAAACCTGCTTTACTTAAGAAGGAATTTGGGTCCACTCTGAGAAGAACAGTGAAATGTCTTGCTATTTCAACCACTCTATGTATTCTCGACATCATTAATGATAGTTTACTCACATTTTCTTAGTGGTGCTACTAAAATGTGAAATTATACCTGCTTGTATGAAAAACTATCTAGAGTGTCTCAATTCTGAAATGATTCTTAGTGACTATCCACATCTAAAGGCAGAATATAATGAAAATGTTGCTGTCCGTATGCAAAGACATAAGAAGAGGTTTTAGCAATGTATGTCTAATAAATCCAAACATTAATTCAAGTTCATCTCTCAGTGATACCAGTCTTATCATTAATCCTGGTAATTTTGTTTTCCCCCCACTGTGGAAAGTTCAGTGAAACTGGGATTCAGCCCCATATTTTTACCAAAGCAATTTGTGGATCGACGCAGTTTGATCTGTACTGGCATGTGTCCAAAAACAGCATGTACAAATTTATTATACTTGGTTTAATCACTGGAGCCTAGTTCACATTTCCATATCATTAAATTTAAATTGTGATAATTGGTTATACTTTAGGATTCCAGTGAAATCATATGTGCTTGAAATGTTAAATTCTTCTAAATTTAGTGAGTCGATGTTGCAGAAAACTAAATGTTGTATTTCTTTATTATTATTAATTAAAGTATCTCAGCTATTAATGGTTGGAGGAGCAGGGGAGGTTGCTGATAATCGCAAACTGACTTTCTTTACTTTGGAATGAGCTAGCTTTGACATTATTGCTGTTTTTTATAGTTCTGTATTCAATCAGTGGCACAGTATGTTTCTGGACCCTTTTCCCTTTTTTAGTATCTGTATGGCTTTGGAAAATTAAATGTAAAAATAAGATCTGTTTAAAAGTTGTATGTTTATGATTTATATATTCCTTAATTTGTTTACATCTAGAGAATATATTTGATTGGAATGTTAAGCAATTGTTTCTTTATTTATCAGCAGAATATTCAACAAAAAACAATGTAAGTATATATATAATGCAGAGGAGCATTTTAACATATTTAAAACCTCATTTGTTATAAAAGTGTATGATCTTTATGTACTAAAAATAGCTGTCCTGAGTTGTTTAAGGGAAAAAAACAATCACAAGCTTATGGAGCAGTGATGCTACTAAGAATCTTTTTTGGTAGCTACTCTCTTTTTCTCTTTCGTGTTTGTTTCTATAGCTCTCTAGCTTTGTGGTCTCCAGAATGGATGTAATAAGGTAACCCATAAGTCTGTAAGGCAGACAGTTAAGAGCTACTGTTTTCTTCATTTATCAATTTCAGAAGAGTCGTTAACTTTTTATTTAGAAGTTGCTCATGCTGTTAAATTAATTTGTTCACTTTCAACATTCAGGCATACTTAGTTTTTTTCTGGTATGCTGGCATATCTAGTTTTAAAATAAATAAACCAGTCCTCACAAAATGGAATGAATCACTTTAACATATTTCTGCAAGGAAAGCACAGGTTGAAGCTAATGGTCCAGGCATATGTAAGCAACAGGAAAATGGCAGACTTGACGCACCTTTCCTTGTTTGAGCTGCTCAGCCATATTAAAGAAATAAGAGCCAAAAAGAACATAAATGGATCTAATAAAAAGTTGACTGAAAAATTAAGCATTAGTCCATAAAACTTTGACATGCAAATTTGTATTCACTGTCAGTAATATTAGCTAATAACATAGTACATGTGTATTATGTATATATTGATAATTTATAACTAAGATGCATATAATTATCTCAGATTATTTTAAAATTCATTTAAATGTTTACATTCTCTTTTTTTAATACATGTGTGCTATTTTGACAATCTTATTAAGCCATATACCTATAATTTACTAGTATCTACTGAGAACGGTATTCTTTGTTTTGGAGTTGTATGTGATTTGCCAATTTGAGTATTTAAATAGTTTTTCTTAATCATAAATTATAGTTTACCAGAAGATTGTAAGAATTATAAGCTATTAAGCCAAGTAGGTTAAAACCTATCACAACAGTATTAAAACTATTAGTTTGTGATTTATTATTCCAATCTGACTTAGAATTTTTGAGGTAGCTAGTATAAGGGCTAAGACACATCCATTCAGAATATTGCAAAAAAAAGAGATAAACTAATTAAAATAGGAAGGTGAAATCTGTGGTGTTAAATACACTTGTATGTTGTTTTTACCTGGGCTATCCAGGAGATAATCTGTTAAGAGATGATTTTACTTCTTTAGTAAAGTATACATTTTCAAGGGACTAGAAATTAATCCACTTTACCTGTTAATTGGTTTCATTAGTTAACTGTAATATTTAGCACTAAAATTCATAAATATCGGGCCTATCTTTTATGTCTGGCGTTTTGTTAGGCCCTAGAACATTGAGTTGACTAAGTTTTGATTCCTGTTCTTGACAATCAACAGTGTTAAAAGCAAAGTGAAAAAATTATTTAAAAAATAAGAATGGGCCTCCCCGGTGGTGCAGTGGTTGAGCGCTGGGTTGCGAAGCTGCCAGCAGCTTCTGCAGTACTGGTTGGATCCCCGGCTGCTCCCTGGCCACCGGGTGAGGGTCCCACATGGCGCGCAGACCTCTCCTGCTGCCCGCTGCTCCCCTCAGCAGTGTATTTTGGTCAGTCTGCCTGTTCTGCTCCCCGTTCTGGCCCTGGTGAATTCTCTCACCCTCTCGTGCTTCTGACTGTACCCAGTGCTTGTATAAGTAAATAAATAAATCTTTAAAAAAAAAAAATAAGAATGACAGCTGGAAATATACATATTTCTTTAAGTCTCAACAAAGTAAACAAGTATGTCACATGGTTGGTAATGTGTTTACCTAAATTATATTTATAATTCTGGTTTACCCCAGCAAGACAGGTGGCTAATACTGATTGGAATTGACAAATTATTGCTTTTGGTGAATGAAAAAATATACTTAGAAAAGTATTTCACTTTGGCATGTCTTTGACTCTATGTTTTTCAGTGTTAGTGCTTCTGTTTAATGTTTTAGGGTATCTAAGGGAACGATTTGAACTCTTAGAAACATTGGTCCAGATTTCTTTTAACGTAGTCACCACATGCTGAGCAATTGGCCTCATAAGCGAATGGCTGATAGCTTATTGAGAATAAATTTCTTGGGGTTTAGTAGTCATCAAAGTTGTGTTTTCTCTGCATTTCATGCCCCTGATCTTCCAAAGGAAACTTACTTATGAGCCATCAAAACAGTGGCTTAAAAGAGTTGTCTGTCCTCTAGAATTTTTCCATAATAAAACAATGATGTGCCTATGGGTTTCTTTTTTTTTTTTTTTTTAAATTCAAAAGGGAAGTACATTAAAAAGGATTCATTATTAGTTCCTGGATCATTTAAAAACCTTGGAGATACCTGAGTTTTCATGAGGTAATCTGGCAGCAGTGACCTGTATTAAGTGCAAAATGGAAATGGGATTAGTTTTCTTTTCCTGGCACCTATAGGGTCTACACTTTGCTGGAGGGTTTCAGAAATCTAACAGGAAAAATGATTTTAAATGAAGCTTTCCTTTTGAGCATTCTGATCTCTCTTTTCTTCAAGGACCTGACTCTTACATATATCTATAGGTCTAAAATCTCATATTAAGGGCCTTAAAAAACACAGTTGCATTAGCAGAAGGCATGCTTTCCTTTAGAGAAATCTCTATCCAGAAAAGTTAGCCCCCTCATGTAAGTATCCACTTTTCATTTAGTATGTTTTAAGATTATATAGCAGTTCCTTCAATTTGAGTTCATTAATATAAACTATTTGCTTAACCATACTACTTTTAATTTGAAGTAACAAAAGATAAGAAAAAGAGGCTATTTCTGCAGGAATTATCTAATGAAATTTTGATTTTAATGTAGGCTTTGAACCAAGTTGTCCTTTGGGACAAGATTGTTCTGAGAGGTGATAATCCAAAGCTGCTGTTGAAAGATATGAAAACAAAATACTTTTTCTTTGACGATGGAAATGGCCTCAAGTGAGTAGTTGTTTTATCATTTTTCATGTTTATTAAAATTTGAAAGGGAGAGAAGGATGTATTCTTTATTTTGAAGAAAAATATTAGGGGCTAAGAGTGGAAAATTGAAAGAGACAAAGTGTTGAAGCTGATCTGAACTCAGGTTGGGTAGAAATACTGCCATACTAACTGGGATCTAAGATAAGTGCTTAGTTCTCTTGTAATATATAAAATATATGGTGTAAAATATAATGGCAGGCTAATGAGGCCTGTATCTTGTGCTTTCAGTGTTCAGGGAGCAGGGGTCTGCACTGGGGGGAGCCAGCATGTGAAAGTCAGGGGGTCCCTGTGGACTGTGGAGGAACTTGCCATGGAAGCCTTCATGAGGCAACTGGTGGTCCGGTGTTGACTGAGGTTTCTAGTTTTGGTTATCTTAACTTGTCTGACCCTCAGTTTCCTTTTATACAAAATGAAGGCTCTAGAATGATTGCTCTTTTGGGCTTTATTTAGATCTTTGTGAGTAAATAAATACTGGAAAGGTTTTCATGGGAAAGCTGTTTTAACTGAACCTTTTGACCAGGAGAGATTTTGATTTGTTCAGGTTTGTCTATCTAGAGAATGATAGGATTAGGTTTCAAATCATTGCCTTCTGATTTCTAGCCCAGATTTCTTTTTATATTCTCTGTGTTTTACTCACTTGCACTTTTTGGCTGATAGCACCAGTAGTTTAGCTATGATATCTGTGAGTTTAGCTACATCACACCTGCATATATAATACAGAAATGCTTAGGAGTAGCTTTAATGGTAAATTATGATTCCAGTTAAGGTATTTGATATCTTAGTGCTTGAATTAAAATATTTTTATTGAACTGTATATATTTTTGGTGACTTTTTCTTTTTTTTTTTTTTTTAATAGGGGAAACAGGAATGTCACTTTAACTCTGTCTTGGAACGTTGTACCAAATGCTGGAATTCTACCTCTTGTGACAGGATCGGGACACGTATCTGTCCCATTTCCAGATACATATGAAATAACGAAGAGTTATTAAATTATTCTGAATTTGAAACAACATATTTTTATACTTAATGAATCATATTTCATTTATCTCTTCCCTGGCATCTTCGTTTTGTTTTGGTTGTTAATTTTTTTTTTTGTGGATGGGGGTGTATATATATATATGAAGTAATGTCAAAAGGCGTATTTGAAGGGAAAGGTTAAAACATGCCACTTAATTTTAAAAACAAAACAAAGAAGGCCACCAGAATGAAGTATTATCTTACAAGAATAAGACTATATAATAAGGATTTGTAAAAAACTTACATGTGAAGTATTCCTGTATTTCCATTATTCTTTATGGAATACAAAGTGAGCATGAGGGGTAGTTAAAACTTTGAGGTGCCTGTGGAGTCATAAGATCCGTCTTGCTTACATGCAAGTACACATTGGGTACGATTTACAAGTCCACGTTCTCTCTTTCTCTCTTTTACGGTATGTCTGATTACTGGAAAAATTAATAAGGCTCTTTGTGAGAAGCCTGGTTTACAAAGTAGCCAAAAGTGATGGAATTTTAGTCCATTTGTTTTAGGAATTCCCATAATGCTTGTTTTTCTTTCAGATGACTAGCAACTTTCTCCACTTAAAGACTAAATACCTCTTAAATGCTGTAAATCATAACTCATTTTAAAGTCTCTTACTAAGTCAGCCAAATGTGTGTCTTTCAGTGCTTTCTCTAAAAAATGTTTCTTTGTGTTACTTCTTTGTGTAATTTTTGTAGCATTGTTGCCATTGAAGTTAAAAATGTTTGCATGATTCAACCTCTGATTTAAGTTTGTTCTGGTGTGCATGCCCTAGTGCCACTGAGTGGTAAATTTTTAAAATTTTCTAGAGGTCCACATTTTAATAATGATTGGGACAATAATAGGTATTGGTGTGCTTTTCCATTTATAAGCACTCTCCCATAATTCTTGTACATTATCCTCAATAATCTAATGAGGTAAGCAGTGCAAATGTTAGCTCTTTGAAAGTGAAGATAATGAAACTGTTGAGTTGCTTCAGGCTTAGGCAGCTAGCAAGGGGTGAGGTTGAGATTGGAGCTCAGATCTGATTCTCTAAGCTTATCCTTTCTCCTATACCTCAGATTACAGACTAATCAAAACTTATTAAAATTTTCATTGTATTTTTGTTACCCTGGACACCCTTTCTACCACTAAAAGAGGTTTCCTACCCTGTGTGCAAGTGACTAATTTTCAAGCTGCCAACAATATACATAGAGGTAATAACTCATTTCATTCTCTCCATAAACTAATTTTCCTTGTGTTTGAAAGTCTCAGAATCCAAATGTTTGTAAAAATTAGCAATTAATATATAGTAATTAACACATGATTAAATATATGATAATAATGTAACATGATTTTTTTTCCTACAGTGGGCAGATAAACGTCCTCAAAGAGCAACTACAAATCAATAACCCTTAAAAAACAAGACCAAACACTGTAGTTACACTACTATCAGCAGTAACCAAAAAGGGCTAATATTTTGTAAGTATAGTGTAAATTATTAGCTAACATTTGTCATATTTACCTCATGTGAAATGCATCACTCTGTAAGTACATCTGTTTTAACAGTTACGGTGTGCAGTTGTACATGTCACATAAAAGCTTGTGTGTCTGGCGGAACAAACTGAAAGGTTGAAACGACAGTATCGTGAATACTAGGCTGGATTTGGCTCCCAGCTTTTCTGTTACGTTTCTCATTGTTTCTGTTTCTTTATCTGTAAAATGACAAAGTTGGACTGTTCAATAGTGATTCTCTCACACCAAGTCTATAAAATTTGTTGTACAGTGGTTGAACAGATAAGCCCCAGAGTAACGTGCAGACAGGAAGAGGATGACTTTATTTTCGTTAGATTTTATACCCAGGAAGTTTAGCTTCATGCAGTTTATGCAGCTACTGCCATGAAATTGAAAATGTGTACACATTAAAGCTTCAAAGTTGGGTACGTTTTCATTAAGGACCATGAAGCTGCACTCACAACCAGATCCCAGTACTGGTTTAATGACACCAGTACGTTGTACCTCCACAATAAGTGGGTCTGTTAGTTTGGTGGAAATGAATGTCAAAATTTATTGAATTACAGTTTGATGAGCCCACTCACTTTTTTGGAGTCTGATGAGGACGAGAAGTAGAGAGACCCCCACTAGCACAAAGGATAGGTAATTGTTTTTACTCACGGGAAACTGCTCAGGACAATGATCCAACATGGGAATAAGGAAACTCCATCTCAGGAACTCATTTTTGGGTGTGCACAGCTTTATTAATTTACCATTGTTCTACATTAAAACAGACTTGCATTCAGTGGGTAACCATATCATATATGTTAATGTCAGTGTTTTAAAGAGGTCTCCTAGAGTCAGACTTACAAAGACCTGAGTATGATCAGAAATATCTAAGGTCAGAGATGACTTTGGGGGAAAGAGAATTAATCCCAAGGTACTTACAAAGTAATTATTGTAGAAAGGAAGGAATTTTAAAATGTAGTCCCCATTTTTCTAGCCATTTAACTGAAACAGCTGTGTCAGTGTGTTTTATTCCCTCAGTTATATTTAGTTGGTTTATCCTTAAAATATAAAAAATTTCAGAATTCCTTCAGGTGTATAATAGGAAAGTTGGTTATTTTGAATTCCTGGAATTAACTTCTAGTCATTTGATAATTTGGCCAGCTAAGAGATGGACTTTAAGTTCATAATGGACTTTTTTTTTCACTCTACAATCTAAAGCTTTGGATTTTGGGTATGTAGGTTAATGGAGGTGTTATTTTATAATAATTTAAATTGATGTGAAATGGGTTTATGGGGGGGAACATCCATAAGCTGTGAACTTTGGTGGTGAACATCTATCCATCTCACAAGCCTTCCTTGCTTCTCGCAGAGAGCCTGTGTACATTACATGTGATGGCCAGTGGTTTAGAGGTGTTTTAAAAAGTTGTTGCAAGTTTTTGATGCAATTTGGGAAATTGTTTACTGCACAGTATAGATTCTTAAGAAAAAAATTCATGAAAACCCAGAAGCTGTGTTTTAGGATTTTCTTAACTGCAGTAAATAGCATTTTTTCTAATGAAAATGAATTTTGTTTACGAGTAAAAGGATGCATTTTAAAAAGACTTTCAGATTCATGCTTTTTATGTAAAGCTGCTGAACTAAAAGAAAATGGATAAAACCAAGTCTAGACTTAATTTTTTCTTTATTTTTCTCTGCCTTTTTTCATTTTCTTTTTGTGGGGTGGGTGGGGTGAGGGTAATTATAACTAAAATATCTTCTTGAGAGACTGTATGCTCCTAAACTAGACTGTAAGCTCTTTGAGGGCAGTCTTGTTGGATTTATCTTTGTATCTCCCCCAGCGCCTAGCATAGTGCCTTGCACACAATAGGCACCCAATAAATATTGATGAATGAAGTCATTGTGTTTCTAATGTGACCAAACCATGGGGCTTTAGCAGCCAACACCTCCTTCATATGCTGCTGCCACTTTTCTCCAATTTGTGGTGGCAGTAGACCTGGCTCTTCTTTCCTTTCAGTGGAGTCACACTGTTCATTTGAGGCAAATGCTGCTCATGCTTTGATGCCTGTGACTTGTGTTCTTCCAGCCTAGGCATTTAATAAGAGAACCTAGGGACAGTCGTGATCAGCTGAAAGGATTGCTCTGTAAACTGCATTACTTTAAAACAACACTAGAAAACCAAAGTTAAACCTGCCATTCAGAAAATATCATCATGAATGTTGAGCTCACGAATGGGTCAAAACACACAACTGACTCCATCTGAAAGTCTTGCTTTCTGAGCCTCTGCCAGCATCAGTGGGTTTGACTCCTACCATCACACACCTGACTCCTTGCACTGCCCTGAGGAGTGGAAATTCTACTTTTTATTTATCAGAAGAGGTAGGAGTTTCTTAGAACATTCACCAGTAAACAACAGAACCACGCCAACAGAACAGAAAATCAACTGAGTTTGTATATTTTGGTATAAGTGGACTAGAGAGTATGTTTTGTTTTCTCCAGAACCAGGGAACCTTTAGGCAAACTTCCTTTTCTCCAGGTGAAATGTTAAATGCAGTAATTGTGAGTTCAATAGACCACTCCCTGATCTGTGAGTTAGCCCTGCAAAAAGAACATTCGTCTCTTCAATAGGTGTGCTTTAGAGCGTCAGGTAGAACACAGCTGGAAGTGTCTCCTTAGCTGGACCTTTTCTTCCCATTTGAGAATAGCAGAGGCATTTCCTTTTGGGATATTTGTAATCTACACATAGCCCACTTCTGTATCTGTTGTGTATAGTTGAAAATAGGCACCCGGGAATTGACTACTAAAGGGATTGACCAGTGGTAGATAACCTGACACTGTTTTCTTCTAAAGGCTGCTACCTTGTGCTCCAAACCCCTCCCTTTTGCTGGGTAGGGGCTTAGAATGACTACCCCACCTGGTGCAGAGTGTGTACAAGAGGTGGTGGGAAAGAACCCAGTGGCTGGGAGCAGGAGGATCCTGATATTCTCCAAGGGAGTCAAAGCAAAGTCATCTTGAAGATGGAGGAAACTGGATCCTGTTAGACATTCCCAGGCCATGTGAGCTGTCCCAGATTTAAGAAGTCTGGGACTTGTTTGTCGCTGCAGCCTCTGCTGCTGGTTTTCAGACCCCCCTAACTCTTGTCACACCTTGTATGCCCAGACTCTTAATTAGGAGTCGGGTTCATCTTTTATGAAGAGCTTGAAATTGCCATTATATTGGTGGAGACTGAGCTATTCAGCTCATCATGTGAGTCCAGTTAAATCCTCTCTATAATTGCTCTAACAGTACCAACATTTCAGTAATTCAACACAATAAGTTTTTCTTGTTCTTGCGAGGAACCGATGAGGGTATTCAGGCCACTTTCCCACATAGGTGCCTTCCGTGCTGTGCCTGCTGCCTCGGGGCTCACCATCCTTTTCTGCAAGCTGGCTGACCAGCCTATTTCCATGTGCCCAGGGGCCGTTTGTTTGTCTCTCTCAGAGAAATGTCTGTTTAGATCTTTAGCGAGATTTTTGATTGGGTTTTATTTTGTTCTTGACTTGTATGAGTTCCTTACATATTTTGGAAATGAACCCCTTGTTGGACTTGTGATGTGCCAGTATCTTCTGGTTCATAGTTTGCCTTTTTGTCGTGGTTTCGTTCAGTGTACACAGGCTTTTTAGGTTAATGTAGTCCTTGTTTGTGCTTTTGTTTCCTTGGCTTTTGGAGATCAGTTTCCAAATACATCCCTGAGGTTGATGTGTAGGAGGAGGTTGCTTATGTTTTCTTCAATGTGTGTTTTACTTTCAGGTCTTTATATCCAACTTGTTGATCTACTTTGGGTTAGCTTTGGGCCTTTAATTTTTTTCCTTCAGTCTCTTAGAGAAATGTTTTGGCTCACTCCCGGGTGTTTTCATTCTAAACATGTAATTAGATATGCAACTTCAAAGGACAGAGAAAAAGTTCCTAGGCATTATACCTCTTAGTATCCCACTCAGGCTGGTCACAGCACTCAGTCCTGAATCTGAGGTAGTCTGTGGTAGTGTGTGCGCCCCAGCTTTGCAGCATAGCACACTTAGGTCTCTAAATTTAACTCATACAGTTTTTTGACTTGAGTTTCAGCCTCCAGATGAGCATCAGTTGCAATGACCTTCCAGTG